TCGTATAAATAAAACATTTTTATATCAATCGATTCCCTATTCAAAAGGTTTTTTTTTTATCAGTTACACATTAGGCGGTGGCACCGCCTATCTATCCAGCATCATTCTAGCCATAGAAACGACACATACATGACATCTTACCGATATTAAAGCGATATTGCGTTTTTATTTTACTACTTATACGTTTACGTTTGTGTGTGTTTATTTTCATTGTTGCACTTAATTGTATATTGTTGTTCACGTGTGCACCCCCGTCTTCGTTATAATGACTATCTCTTTCTCCATCCAAAGGTTGCCTGGAAGAAATCGCTTTAAGCGATAAAGCCGCCAATTGTTTGCATATTAATTAAGTTTAATTTATGTTTGTTTCTGTAAATAGTGTATTGTTAACAATAAAGAGTTATCTATCTATCTACTTTGACATGTACTTAGAAACAAACTGATGATAAAGAATGATGGTTATGGATTTGACAGCTAAAAGTTAGTAACTTAGTCGTTTGTACATCAAAAGACACGTGACATAGGCTAAAATTTACGCGGGAGAAGTCGCGGGAAAACAGTTAGTAGGAGTCACTAATAAATTAGAGAACAGTACTAGTTTTGTTTATCATGCGTTGATTTAATTTTTAAGTCGACGGAAAGACATCCGAGGTTGCTTTATGTGTTTAGATTATCCTTTTTGATACGGAACCTGTAACGTTAATGGAAAAAAAATCTATTTATACACCATTGACCTAAAAAAGACTGATTTTAATTTTAAATAAAAGGAATAATTAACCGACTTTAAAAAAGAAGGTTATCAATAGGATTTCGTTGGGATGGCGTAATATTCATATATGTTGGTCGGTATGGGCTTCTTCACACGTGTGCAAAATTTTATAAATGTATGTATTTATTGGTGGTCGTCCACGGATATCTCGCAAACGAGACGTCGGATTACAATGAGTATTTTTTGTTTAGTTGCTTAGTTTTCAACTTCGGGTACACTACAATTTCATTAAAATTCGTTCAGTAGTTTTGAAGTTATTTAACAAACTTATAAAATTAGTTACTGTTTGTTAACCAACTTCAAAATGAAGGCCCTCTATTTACATGGGTAAGACGTCATTAACCGACTTCAAAAGCCTCTTATCAATTTAACCTGTATGTGTGTAATTTTGTTTGGAATATGACGCAATATTCATATATGGTACCAATGAGTTTAATAACTAAAGAAACAATCATACAACAGACGCGCCAAAAAACGTAGCACTAAACTAGTTTTAAAATCAGTACTTAGCTTTGCAAATAACATTTTTTTGTGAATAGCAGTGGTAACCCTGAAGACAAATTGTCGAAATTTTATTTCTACAACTTAAACATTTTTATTTTCTAAAACTAGCTTTAATGTTGTTTTAATTGTCAAATTTGTTGATGAGTTAAGTGTAAAACGTAACATTCTTTCATATTTTTTGTATTTGGGAAAATAATCGTATTATTGCCACTGTTTTTCTTCCTTTATCCGGAGTAATTTTTTGTACTTTCTCGGTGGGAGTTGAATGAGTATTGGAGTGAAGAATGAGTCAACTAAGACAAACGGCTTTGTTGTAGTAGCTTCACTTTTTGCTATGTATTACGTATACTATACACATTAATATCATTGTATGTTAGTCTATATGCGCTTCTGAGCACATGTTCTACATTTTGTATGTTTGATGACGTATTTCTCGTAAATCAGACATTGGATTGAAATGGTACTTTTTTGGTCGACTAACTATTTTATCTTAGGTAACAACATAAGAGGAAACTTACTAAATGACTTAAGTAAAAAACCTTAAAAAAAAAACGACTTCAAATAAATCGTATTAAAAAGAAACGACTAGAGAGAAAGCCGAAAAGAGAAAAAATACCAAAAAAAATTATCTTCACGATTTTATTGAAGACAAAAATTTGTGAACACAAAAACTGGATACATCAACAATTGTTTTTGAGTCGGTGCCAGATATTTTTGAGAAAAATATCATGTATGGAAAACAAAATCTGATAGGTCTGCTTTACTTCTTACTAATGGGCATCGCCGGCGCTTATGTGTCATCCAAAACTGAATATGCATTTCACTAATTACTAAGAGCTACCACTTTACCGCCTAAAGTCTAGGACGAAGGAAGCATTTGCCTAATGTAACAAATCACAGATGTAAAATAAACGTCCCACGAACGTTTCAGTTGTACTTAGAAGAAGTAGTTTCGTCCATGGGACAGGCTAAGGAACTAAGCCATACAGCCAAATCTTGGGTTATATTCTTTATTATATTATTTTATAAAGCAAAGTCTTTCTTTTCTTCTTATCTTCATTTTTTATTCCGTCTTGCCTTGTTTATTTTGTTTTTAACAAGGCTGATAGCCAGATTTTAGATTTAAATTTCTTTGTCTTATCCAGGTTCTTATTTTACATATCCGGGAAGCGAACATTTCATATTTTACTTATTATCTTCTCATATTCACATTTGTTTCTTAAACAGTTTGTTTTATTAAATCAATTTTACTGTACTATTTTTGGCTGGGATGTAGAGTGCTTTAAGCAAAAACTTTGTTTGAACTGTCTTTGGGATTTTCAGTTTTTAAAGTTTTTTAATAGAAGATTTTATATACTTGTATAAGACACAAAATATTTAATTTTTTTCAAGTAGTCTCATAAATTCTAAACTTTTAACAAATCTTTCGTCAAATAAACAAATTTTTCATTTTTTTAACATACTAACTTCCCGCAAGCGGCTTCGCCTGCGTGATACCTAAGTTTATTTGGATATTAATTCATATCATAACACTGATATAAACACGGATGTAAACAATGTTTATTATGGTAACGTTTTAATTCCCTATACATCCACTCCTATTTTCAACCCTTTATTTGCTGTTTTTAGGGATAAATTATAGCCTATGTTCACCGCACCTGATGTAGCTTCCGGTAGGTGAAAGAATTTTTTAAATCAGGAAGGTAGTTTCGGTTATATATTTGTTACAAACAAACAAAAAATCAAATCTTTCCTTTTTACAGTATTGTATAGTAGGTATAGAAGTATAGATTAAACATATCTGCTTAGGCGTTCTAAAGATTAAACGTTTTCTAGTTTTGCCTTATTCTAGGTTAGTGAAAATTGGTGTTACCTTCCACGATCAGATTGATCGCGTAATAGGAGGGTGATGTCAGAAGCCATAAAAACCGCCTAGCGTGCATAAAATGAGTAATGAACATCGAGGAAGCGAAACGCGTGTAAGACCGTACCTTGTGGCGCTCGGTCGTCTACAAACTATGGTTGCCAACCGTACTCTACAATTGTTCTTTATATCATGTAATTGTAAGGGAACAATTAATTTATAACACTTATATAGGACGATGAAATACAATTTTTTTACTTTATAGTTATGACATCTTTTTAACGATGTTAAATGAACGATACACTTTTTTGCAAATCTGTACTCTTTCTTAATTTTCTTTGAATTTCTTGTAATAAAAGTTGACAACCCTACTTTGGTAGTAACCAACCCCTCAAGTAGGCATACCAGATGTTCGGAACTTCCCTGAATTTTCCCGACAATTCAGAAGACAACCAGAGTACCAAAAAAAAGTTCCGGCAAAAGTTAAATACACTTTGCAGTCTGCACAAAAAGGTTCAATGACGGTTCTACGAATGTTTTAAATTTGTATAAGTAATGACACTATAAACTAATGACAAATTTAATTTACGTTGGTGCAAGGGATGTTATTCATTCAATCGATCGCCCTCATCGGCTGACGATTTCCTACAGACAGCCTACGAATTCCAGTACCCTTTTTTCGCTCATCAAAATATTCAAGAGTAATTCCGACTTTTTGAAATTTATCCCAGATCTTTAGTATTTAAATGGACCAGATTTCCGCTAGCGACTCCGCCCATGTGCTTCATAATTGTACCTCCACTCCTTTAGTCAAAGATTATTATTTAGCCTACAGCCTTCCTCAATGAATTCGACAAAAAAATAACTTTACATTTTTAGCTTTATAATAATATTAAGTTTTGATAGATGAGACATGAGTACAAACTGTTTCAGTAACTTTACGAATGCTTACAATTTGCCTAAACGTTTGTATAAAGTAAATTGTCAATATCAGTTTCACGAAACACGCACCGCACACCACGGATTGCCCCCACTGCTCAAGCTCAGGCCTGCCCTTTGGATGTAATCGAATCAAATCGAATAGGGAGAAAGGCCCATGACCCACCCCGGAGACATACTGCGGTCTGGTATTAACGACTGCAGAGACAGCCGGATCTATCTTGTTAAGTGCCTTCCGAAGCACGGAGGAGCTCGTAATAATAAATTTTTGGTCTCCCATCCTATGACCGGCCATTCCGAAAGTTGCTTAACTTCCACAACCCACAGCGCCGACTGAGTGCGCTACGAAATTAATATTTTCAAAGATATATTTCGTTTTCAAATAATGCACTGCCAAATATGGCAGTTATCATTTGCATTTGCAATTTTGTTTAGTTTTGTCTGTTTATTGAATTATATTTTGTATTTATTGGATAACTTGCTATTATTATGAACAATATTATGTATAGGAGTTAGTACTTTCATGTAAATGTTGTACCGTATATCCAGTACCCAACTTTATTTAAAAAATGCATGCATATAAAATAAATAAATATTAAAAAACATCGCTTATATTACTCATATTCCAAGATGAGTAGCTAAAGAGTATCTGGAACGAAGGTACCACAACACGCAGACCCGAGACTCGAACCCACGACCTGTCGTAATTCGGGCGACTGTTCTAACCACTGGGCTACCCAGGACTTTTTTAACATTTTTTATTAAGAATGTTGCATGTAAATCTTTTTGTAAAAATATTATCATTCTCTATCAATAATCCATACTCCTACATCATAACAAATTACACTAACACACAACAAACAAAGAATCGAATGCAATCTATTCCAACTTTAGCATAAAGCCTTATGCACTACACAATCGATGTTAATTACAATTGTTACCTGAAGCTGTAGTGGTGGCTGTTGTAATTGAAACTGTGCTCGATGTCGATGTTTCGCTTGTCGTCATCTCCACAACTCTATCCACCGTAATCCTTCCAGATAGTCCCGAGCTTTCGGCCACTTCCTGGACCTCTTCTTCTATCTGAGGACTTGGGGCTGTCTGACTTAAATCATTCGCGACGATAACATTAACAGTTGTCAATGATTCCAAATCGGAATTTTCGCCAGCTATCTGAGAGTTATCTATGTAGACAGCCGCAGAACGTGCTCCCAGAGTCTCCATAACACTCTCGGCTAAAGACCTTGTCGACATTTCATCGATATCGATGTCTTGCTTTATATCGATAATAATCTGGTGACGTTTCCCACTTCCTGATGGACTTTGCACCTGATGAACGCTCACTGAAGCGTCTGTCTGAGACATATGGTGTTGTATCACATGAGTCAGCTGCCCCTCCAAAGCGTTATCTCTGTTCCCCGCCATTTTCACATCGAGATACACACAACACTATAATACTAATTCAGTCAGACTTATATTTTCAGTCGAAGGTAAATAAGAGATTTATTGCACTTTTATTCTTTCAATTTATTTTTTAATTTCGCTTTTTTAAACTAGTGAACACAGTTATCACACTTATGGGATGAACACTAGTGGTTTACTGCGGCGTTGCACCGCGCAGCTGCATAGAAATTGGGTCAGGGGTCATTATACTTGTCGATTTTGGTTCCATAGTCTTTGTGCGTTTATGGCAGTGTACGTTGGATAGGCACAGTTTAATTCACATGGCGGCAATAATCCCGTATGGGCAGGAATGGACGCGGATGGGCTGCGGTGGCCCTGTGACACAATGTCCTATTTAGCGAGCGCGTAGAACGCGCGCCGCCTCCGTCGTAGCCACTGCGGCCTACGGCGTAGCAGCTACGGTGCGCCGCGCCGTATCGTCTACACACTTCCGTGAATAGGTCCCAGGATATATCTGAAGATATGATTTTGTTTTTGTTTATTGTGTTCGGAAATTGTTTGTTTATCATAAAATTATCGTTTATTTACAAGCAATGATGTTTGTATTATAAACTGGGTTGCTGTGTACTAGAAATGAGGGTATATAATAATTAGCACAAATCGTCAAATTTACGAAATTCGCAACGTCAATTTTTGTACTTAAATTCGTGCAACCTAAAGACTTAAATTAGTTGCAAGAATGAGTTTCATATAACCTAATGTTTTGTCTTCTATGACGTCATTTATAAAAAAATATGTATATTGTATATTTGCAATCGTATTAAAATATGAAAGATACGTACCATTTTCCAACATTTATCTAAATAAAATGATATTAAACAAAAAAAATCGAACGCCGCCACAGATAGCGCAACATCGAAAAAAACTGTAATAAATAGATTCATTTTTTGTAATCTTATTACAAAATATATCTTAGGGACTTCCCCACGTGTGTATTCGCCCAATTTGAACGGCACGTGCCCGCGTCTGCGCGGTAGTCGGTCCTTTCTCTGACTCCTTCTGTTCCTATACATACATCCCTCTCACACTCCTTCGATCGTTTCAGAATGACGAAAAAGCGTATAATCGAATTTATGCCGCTCCGGCCCGGCCCGGATACCGTCAGCAGAATAGTCAGACACGGTGTCCTTGAACTAATTTCAATATTTAATGTAAATGGGATAATTTTAGATTTTTTTATATTTTAATTATTAAAACTCTTCACTTTGCTAACTACTCGATCTCAAATCTTCTTATCCAAATGTTTTCAAGACAGTAATTGTTAAGCTACCCGCTTTTGTAAATTCCATTAACAATACCTATTTTACATCACTTTATATTGTATAAAATAAAAATAGCTCTACCACTTCTTCCATTTTCATTGGTCGGGAGATTAGAGAGCTATCTGTGTCATGTTCTATTAGGATCTTGATGATGCACTGGTGAGCACGTTCGATCTATGATAAAATTATTTCGAGTTTCTTGGTGTTTCGGAAGGCACACAAGAACCCACCAATCAACATTAGGCTACTTGGGAGTTTATGGCCCATTCTCTTTATTCAATTCAATTCAAATACATCCATAAGAAAGGCCTGGATTGCAGCAGTGGATATACTAATAGACTAATGATTATATAGGGCCCAGAATACATGTAGACAGTGTAACGATTGACTCTCATAATAGCTCATTCAGATTAGTCTACAGGGTTGCACGCGGAAGACGGGCGATTTCTTTAAATTTATTTTATATGCCGATATATAATTACTAAACTTTTTCGTGCATAGCAATAATAATTTAATTCACTAATGCAAAAATTTAGAAGGTAAATTCATCAAAAAGGTTTTAACCTAAAATATGACACCTAATAAGGATATAAGCACGATGTCTCTTTACCAAAATACTCTACTCCTTTTGTGAAATTTAGGTAACTTAATTTGAAATTCAGTCATTAAAATCAAAGCCAGCAAAACCTCGCAACAAATTAAAATTTGTTGAAAATTATTAACCGCCCTTGTAATTTTAATAGCTATTTTTAAATGTTTTAACTGCATTATTACAAAATATATAGACAAACCTGGTGCTTTTTCTTTCTTACAAATATCTAAAAATAAATACATCGATTTTTGTTCATTAATATGCCATAATCTGCGTACCGTACACCATTGGTGGATTACGTAAGGCTACATGACAAACGAAAACAACGGAACTAAAAGTAAACATTTAATCCACTTCCCATACTTTTTAATTTTGACTGCATTTTTATCTATTGCATTTAGATGTTTCACTACAATTTTATTGGGCAGAGAAGTCCTTTTTCTTGTTTTACCACCTGACTTCTGGACTGAGTATAGAATTATGAGTGAGTTGTTGTGAGTGAGTGAGATAAGGGTACACTAACCTACATTCTGAAGTAAAAAGCGTTACACAACTTTTGCACAATTTTGTCACGAGTTCCTGTACTATAAACTGGACTAATTATTATGTCACAGACAATTTATATTAGGCTGTAATCACAGCAATACAGTCTCTCCCAAAAAGAATCAGCGTTATCTCTTATCAGCATAAGAATCGAGTACACTGCTTCGGCTAATATTGTCCTATTAGTAGAACTCAAAATATACCAACATATTGATAGTTAGGTTGTAGTCAAATATTGTCGTGGTTTCAATAATAAATTATTTTTCTTTAGCCTTAATTAGTTTTATTTTTAGTTTTGTGTTATAGTTATACAACCTGTTTAATTTCATTTTATCCTAATGATCCTTTTCAAGACTCATAGTAAACATTGTTGATATCCTAAAAAAGTTGTAATATTCAAACATTGACTTTATGAGTCAGAGTTAACGTTAGGTGGTAGCGTCCTTGGGCGGATTCCGCATAACCTCCCCATACCAAGGCATTTAGATCGTTTAGAGTTTGTACTTATTATATCTATATGTAGAAGCCAAATAAATTGTTTTAGAATATAGTAGGCTAAGTCTATAAATGTTGATTATTTTACATTAAAAGGCTATGCAACCGATTTGTATACTTAGTTATTAAACCAGTAGTTCGGAATCTATTAAAGTTATAATCGTCATAAAGTATTTTTATAGCAAAAAGAAAATTACATAACAGAAGTGTGACAGAAAAAGATAAAAGGAAACAATGAAAAGAAAGGAAGGAGGCCAAACTACATTATCAAAACATTCTGACCGATGTTCTTATCGCTTTATTTTCATTTTTTTTTCTTGAATCGATATTAATTACACACTAGTGAATATTTCAATGCTATCTGGAACTAAAAAAATAATGTTTGGTCTCCAACTTGGAATGTACCTATTCAGCCAAGACGATGTTATTGTTTAATATTTCGTTTTATAGATAACTAATTCCTAAAACAATGTTAGTGCATTCGACGTAGAGCTACTAACGAATTGCGACAATTGTATTACCTTTAAGGTAATAAATTGTCGCAATTCGTAGTTGCACAAATCAAATAAAAACTTTATTAATATTCAAGCTTTATACAACTACCATAAAAAGTATCAATAACAAAAGGTGTAATCAAGCTATTAAACACTGGTACACGTTCACTGAACGCTGCCAACTGCATGACATCAGCGTCATCTATCATCGAGTAGCGGTACTAAATTGCACATTTAAAAGTAAAACCACCTGATCACGTGCGCCTACTAACGGTAAGTAGCCGAACTGCGTTCGTTGAACCCCCTAACTTGCGTTCCGTTGCGCAACTTTCAAGCTTCGCAATTACGGTGCTTTCGGCCCGACACGTCCGAGAGGCCTCGGCGCGAATCTAAAAATGGAACGGTATTTTTTTTCTTTTGTCGGATATAGGTCAGGTCTTTGGTTTTAATATGGGTGAAGCGTAACGTCAAATCTAATGTATCTACAACCATTACGCACTGGTCGCGATAACTCTCGAGCCATAGGATACAACATCTTTAAAATGTTAAAGGTCAAACTGGTAAAATGAAACCAAATATTGCCAATATTTCAATTAATTTTACCACATTGCCATGTCTTTTGGTGGATAAAGGACTAAATTGGTAACACTGCTGTCATGAACTAATTATAAACTAATTGTTCAAAGTCAAAGTAGTAAAACCAACTTACACCTAGTTGCACAAACATCTATTAAAATTGTAATTATTTTAAAGCGACATTACCCATACAAATTTGACATTCATTAGAGCTTAAAGAGGTCATTAAACCTTAATGGACGTTTGTGCAACAGAATGTTAGTCATTTATCCCAAAGTTATTCACCAAAGAGTTGTTAATTGTCAAAACAGTAAAATGAAACGAAATATAGTCATAATATTCGCTAAGATTTCGTTTCCTGCGGTTATCGCACCCCTGATTTAGTTTTGACAGAATTTATAATCGATTAGTAATACGTCATAGAGTTCCTAGATTATTAGAATTTTCCTTTTTTCGCATCGTAGTGATCACAGTGCATTGATTCAGTAAATACTCGTACTATATAGCAATACCGCTTCTTAGCCTTTAATAGATACAACATCTACAGCGCTATTCTGTAATAAAATCAACGTTGTGCTTAGCGTCAGGTTCGAGACTGATATCATTACAGAATTGCATTGCCGATGTTCTCTATTAAATACTTAATTCACTGCCATACCTTCCATGTAAAAATTGATTTATAATGTTGATTTATAGTCTTTTTTTTCTACCTTTGCATGTAGGTAAGTATCTCAGATTTTTCTAACGCTGAGACTAAGTGTCCCTAAACTGCAGTCTGAAATCGTATTTTTCAGTGCGAAAACTCACCTAAAATAAAAATGTTGGTGTAGGTTAGGTACCCCCGCATATTTGCACGTCTAATTAAATATAAAGTTAATGATCATATCTTCTAGTGATGTATGTTAAGTTATCGCGAAAATTCGATGATTTTAGAGCAAAATAAGATTTTATTTAAAGGTTGTGTGACTTACTTCTTTAATAAGAGTTTTTGTTATTTTC